AGTGAGACTGAGGAGTCAGCCTGGGGGGCTTCTGGTGGGAAAGTGGGGAGGAATGAGGATGGCCCAAGCCCCTGCTCCTTGATCACCTCTCCCAGGCCGTCTCTTCCTTCCTGACCCCATCAGGGTCTGTCCCATTCCAACTGAGGGAAAATGAGGCACCAGACCTTTGTCAAGTGGGTGGTCTACCTGAAATGTATTGCCTATCCCCAAATCACTGTTGAAATCCTAGTAAAGCCAAATTCAAAGACAGTCATGCCTTGCTTAACAACAGGGATACATTCTGAGAAATGCATCCTTAGGCGATTTCAACATCTTGCAGACATCATAGAGTGCACTAACACAAAACCTAGATGGTACGGCCTGCTCCATGTCCATGCTATGTGGCGTACAGTCAATGGTTCTTAGGCGGCAAACCTGGACAGCATGTTACTGTACAGCAGGCAACTGGAACACAGTGGTATTTGTGTATCTAAACATAGAAAAGGGCTGAGTGAGGAGGCTGACATCTGTAATCCCAGCACTTTGGGAGGCCAAGTTCAGGCTGATTGTTTGAGCCCAGGAGTTTGAGACCAGCCTGGGCAACATGGTGAAACCCCGTCTTTACAGAAAATACAAAAACAAGCCGGGCATGATGGCAGACGCCTGTAGTCCTAGCTACTTTACAGACTGAAGTGAGAGGATCACTTGAGCCCAGGGAGGTCAAGGCTGCAGTGAGCTGTAAGCGTGTCACTGCACTCCAGCCTGGGCAACAGAGTGAGACCCTATCTCTAAATAAATGAATAAATAAAAACATAGAAAAGCTATAGTTAAAATACATATGTCTATGTATTTTATTAGATATATATCGGTTGGGCATGGTGGCTCATGCCTATAATCCTAGCACTTTGGGAGGCTGAGGTGGGCAGATGACTTGAGGTCAGGAGTTTAAGACCAGCCTGGCCAACATGGTGAAACCCCATCTGTACAAGCAATAGCCAGCCATTGGGTGTGGTGGCTCACACCTGTAATTCCAGCACTTTGGGAGGCTGAGGCAGGCAGATCCCTTGAGGTCAGGAGTTCGAGATCAGCCTGGTGAAATCTTGTCTCTACTAAAAATACAAAAATTAGCCAAGTATGGTGGCATGTGCCTGTAATCCCAGCTACTTGGGAGGCTGAGGCATGAGAATCACTTGAACCTGAGAGATGGAGATTGCAGTGGGCAGACATCAGGTGAGACAGTGAAACTTCATCTCAAAAAAAAAAAAAAAAATTTGGCGGGGCACCATGGCTCACACCTGTAATCCCAGCACTATGGGAGGTCGAGAAGGGCAGATGAGGTCGAGATTCAGACCATCCTGGCCAACATGGTGAAAACCGGTGTCTACTAAAAATACAAAAAAATTAGCTGGGTGTGGTGGCGTGCGCCTGTAGTTCTGGCTACTTCGGAGGCTGAGGCAGAAGAATCACTTGAACCCAGGAGGCAAAGGTTGCAGTGAGCCAAGATCGCACCACTGCACTCCAGTCTGGCAACAGAGCAGGACTCCATTTCAGAAAAAAAAGAAAAAGAAAAAGAAAAAAAATTAGCTGGACATGGTGGCATGCACCTGTAATTCCAGGTACTCAGGAGGCTGAGGCAGGAGAATCGCTTGAACCAGGGAGGTAGAGGTTGCAGTGAGCCAAGGGTGCACTACTGCACTTCAGCCTGGGCAACAGAGCCAGGCTTGTCTCAAAACAAACAAACAGGCCAGGCGCGGTGGCTCACACTTGTAATCCCAGCACTTTGGGAGGCCAAGGCGGGCAGATCACCTGAGGTCAGGAGTTCAAGACCAGTCTGCCCAACATGGTGAAACTCCGTCTCTACTAAAATATACACACACACACACACACACGTACACACACACACACACACACACACACAAATTAGCCAGGCGTGGTGGAGGGAGCTTGGAATCCCAGCTACTTGGGAGGCTGAGGCAGGAGGATCGCTTGAATCCAGGAGGCAGAGGTTGCACTGAGCCGAGATCGTGCCACTGCACTCCAGCCTGGGCGACAGAGTGAGACTCTGTGTCGAAAACAAAAACAAAACAAAAAGAAACCCCACACACAAAGCAACAAACAAATAGATAGATAGATAGAATGAGAGAAATATATAATATATAAAATTATATATTTATAGAGAGAGAGGTGGGGAGTGGCCGGGGACTTGCTCTGTCGCCCAGGTTGGGGTGCAGTGGTGCGATCTGGGCTCACTGCAGCCCAAACCTCCTGGTCTCAAGTGATCTTCCCGCCTCAGTCTCCTGTGTAGCTGGGATTACAGGCATGCGCCACCACGCCCGGTTAATTTTTGTATTTTCCGTAGAGGCGGGGTTTCACCATGTTTCCAAGGCTAAAAATGCATATAATCTTATGAGACTGCCATTGTCTGTGCGGTCCATCTGTTGACCAAATGTTGTTATGCAGCGCATGACTGTGCTGCCTCCTCAGGGCAGCCTCCAGAATCACCCCTCCTTTATAAATGAACTTCTTCTTTCGACTTAAGGCCATTTAAATGGGCTCCAGAGTAGCTCTTTTAATGGTTCTTTTCTGTGTGTATTTGCCTTAGCCTGGGAGCTCTGGGGACAGGGCTTACATATTTCTACCTCAGTGACTGTTAATGGACTTCAACATCATCGAAGCACAGAACTTCACATCGGAATGTGCCTTGAAGGCCCATTTGACAGATAGGGAGACTGACGTCTATTTCCATTTCTCTCTCTGATGCCCCTTCCAAACAAGAAGCTGAGGTGGGCAGTCAGCGAATCAAGGTCGGAAAGAGCCAGTCTGACACCCCGGACTCCAGTTCCCGATATGCACAGCGCGCACCTGATGCGTGCTGGGGAATGTAGTTCTGACCTAGCGCCCCGCCCCGCCCCCTCCGGTGTTTCATAGCACCAGTCGCGATCCTCAGCAATCCAGACTTTCGTCTCCTCTTGTCACTCACTACTTCCTGTGACTCCAAGACTGCCTTCCCTTACTCTACCCCTTCCTCCAGCCCCCCAGCTCTGATTCTTTTCCTGAGACTCAGTGAACGCAGGGGTCCTGCCCCAGCCCCGACCCCAGTCCTCCCCCTGGGTGTGCTCGAACTGGTGATCTAAGTCCTGAGCCCAAGTCCCTAAAGCCTCAGCCCCAGGCCTCCTCTAAACCCTAGCGGCTGCCGCTTCTCACAACTCACCCGCTCGCTCGTTACCTGATTCCGGAGCCCTGCTATTCCCCGCCCAGGCCGCTCCCCTCCCGGACCCTGGGGTGGCCGAGACCCAGACCCCCAGCTTCCAACCCCTCTGACTTCTGCAACCCTCAGCGACCGGGTCCCTCAGCCCCTTACCCAGACTTCCCTCCCTCTGGGTCATGCTGGCCCCTGGTTGATCCCGGCTCCCTCCACGCCCCCCTTTCGAGGGGGGAGAAAGGGGAAAGGGCTGGGGGCGTGGCCCGGCCGCAACCAATCAGAGCCCAGACCCCAAACATTTCGCCCTACCCTCCCCCTTTTCAGACAGGATTCCTTGGCCCTGAGCTCAGCTCCTCGCCCGTGGGGCCTAGTGGGGGAAGGGACCCGAGGTGGGAGGCAAGTTGTCCGCCTAGTGGATAGGACCTCGGGGCTGGGGGTGTCGGGGCCTGGGAGGCAGCCCAGTGTCCTGCTGCCGGCTCAGGCTAGGACCTGAGGCAGGGGCTGCTTTGAGGGGAAAGCTGAGGAGACAGGAGAGAGAACTGCGGGGCTGGTAGGACAGGAATGCGCAGGCCCTCTCTGTAGTCTGGGGCGCGGCTTGCCAGAGAGGCCACTATAGGGGCCTTCAGGCTTGGAGCGCGCTCGTCCAGACATACATCTCCTGGTCTGTCTTAGATGGCTTCTAATCTCACTGTCACACCCACTAGGAGGGAGGCAGATACACGGCTCACCTCCTCTTATCAGGCCTAGTAACAGAATCCTGGAGATTCACACACACACTCCTAGGAGAACAAGCTTCAGAGACCTGGACAGGAGGTCACATCCGCGCATCAACCCCATTAACTGGTGTAAACTGAAAGGAAGGCACATAGGGATGATCCGTACTTGGTTTCTGGCCCCCTGAGGGGCTTGCCGTCTGTTGGGGAAGCCCATAGACAACATCAGTTAATGGGGTTTGTGAGTGAAGGACTGGGAGGAGGTTTGTGTGCACGTGCGCGCGTGTGTGCGTGCGTGTAAGTGTGCGATGGTGAGCGTGTTCGCGTGCATGTGTGTGGGTGTGCTCCTGTGCGTGGGTGTGTGTGTTGCGGTGAGCAGACAATTGCTGGAATAAAGGAAGAAAGAGTTTAACTGGAGAGGGCACAGCAGGTGCAATTGAGCCAGACAATTGGTAGGGCCCACAATCACATGTGTATTCACTGTAAATATTTATTGGGCATTTATCATGTGCCGGGCACTGTCCTAAGAGCTATACACACATTAACTTACTTCTATGTTATAGATGCGGTACAGAGATAAGTGACTTGTCCAGGGTAACACAGTTGGGTGTGGCACAGCTGGGATTTTACCTAAGCAGCTTGGCTCAAAAAATGCTGTCCTAACCATGCTCCTAACTCCTTATGCCCTTAACCTCTGGACATGGTCACACCAAAACTCAAAGACACAACAGCCACATCTTGAAAAACACACACACACACACACACACATACAGAGCCACAAATTTTAACGTGGTCTTATCTGCTGACAAGTCAGCCTCAAATAAAGTCAACCAAGACACACTAATTGTCTCTAAGTAATGTACATTTTATTTAAGTCATGTGATGGAATTTCAGAGTACATACGCCCAGGGAACCAGCACCAGATTACAAAACTGAACCGGATCAGCTCTCAGAAGGCCCCCCGTCCCCTTCCAGTCCTAAGGTTGACCACTATCTTGACTTTGGTGAACTACATATTATTTTCTGTGGTTCCGAATATCATACACATGGGACCATCTAGTATGTACTGTTATATTTGGCTTCTTTCATTCAAGATTTCGTCATGCGACTTGTCTATGTTGCTGGGTGTAGCGGGCATGTCATTCCCGTTGCTGTGTCTATGTGCATGGTAATGAGTAAGGCGTCATTCATTTTCCATTCTGTTGATGGGTTATTTCCAGTTTGGGGCTGTTATGAAAGGACTCTGAACGTTCCCATGCACCCTCTTGGTGCTCACACCTACGCATTTCTGCTGGGTGTTGACAGCCTAGGGAGTGGAATTGCTGGATCACACGGGTGGCATATGTTCGGTTTCATTAGAAAACTGCCAGTTTCCAAAATGTCTCTACCAATTTACATTCCCCCAGAAATACAAGAGAGGTCCAGTCGCTCTAGTTTCTCGCCTCCACATGGTGTGACGGTCTTTTTCACTTTAGCCATTCTGGTGGGTGAAGAACTCGTATTCGCAGCGCCTGACGCGTAATTGGCACTCAGTTAACAGGACTGTTGAATGAATGGATGAATGAGTAAGTCGGGCGGTGTAGACCGAGAGCTTGGCGAGGGCGGACACACGCACGCACTCCACACACAGCTTTTCGCGGACACCCACCGCGGCGCCCCCAGCCCAGGACACAGACCCTCTCGCGCACCCCGCGCCCACGTGGTCTGAACGCACGGCCTAGGTCCTGCCGCGCGCGTCCGGTCGCCGAGCCGTCCCCAACTCCGGCACTCGGCGGCGGGCAGGGGGCGCTGCGCGTCCGGGCGCTCCGAGGGGGCGGGCTCGGGTCGGGGCGGGGCCGGCCGGGCTTCCAGGCCTGGGCTCTGGCCGCCCGCGCCACCGGGCCGCTCCGGGGACGGGCCGGGGCGGGGCGCGGCGGCAGGAAACAGGCGGGGACTCGCGGAGGCGTTGGGGACGAGAGAGGGCGCGCCCAACTCCCGGGGGGACGGCAGGCCGAGAGCGCGGCGCCCGGGCCTGGCGCCTAGCCTGAGCCCGCCGGACGGGAGGCGGCCCCGCCGCGGGCTCGGCCCCGGCCCCAACCCTGCCAGCATGGCCGGCCGGACCGTACGGGCCGAAACCCGGAGCCGGGCCAAGGATGACATCAAGAAGGTGATGGCGACCATCGAGAAGGTCCGGAGATGGTGAGCGCTGCCCGGGGGCCAAGAATGGGACACGGCGGGACCACCGCCACCAAAGGCGTCTACGTTGCCCTCGCCAGCTCTGGGCCCCGGGGGTTCGGTGTACCCCCGCCCACTAGCTTTGCCCTGGATCCACAGGGCTCTGTCTCTGTTCCCCTGGCTACTCCTGGGGGTCTACAAAGCATGGTCCCCAGCCGTGCCCTCCTAGAGCAGGAGCCCCCGTTTGTGCCCCGCCCCCTAAAGCTTTGACACTCCTTCTGCAAGTGCGCCCCAGGATCTTCAGGGCTTTAATCCTGGCCCAGGCCCATAGCCACGCCCCCCATGTGTGCCCCCGGGGTCCGCAGAGCCAGGGCCCCAAATCTTATTCTCTCTGCAGGCACCCACAGCCTCTGCTTTGGGGTTTGCAGGACTCTCTTTCTCCATGTAACTATGCCCCATTAGCAAAACTGTTGCTACCCTCCTGTGCCTCCCCAACCTCTGCAGGTATCCCCAGATATGCCTGGCTCCTGGGGGGGGTAGGTCTCCCCTCAGGCCTCTCTGACCCAGCCCCCCACCCTCCCACAGGGAGAAGCGTTGGGTGACTGTGGGCGACACTTCCCTTCGTATCTTCAAGTGGGTGCCAGTGGTGGACCCCCAGGAGGAGGTGAGCAACCGCTGTTCCCGCAAGGCCCTAAATATGTGCATCCTCAGGCGAGCCCCTTCCCACCCTGGCCTCTACCTCTAACTCCCCCTGAGACCTCAGAGGCAGCAGCACAGATGGGAACCATCATTAGCAGCTCTTCCCCGTTTTCCCTCTTTTCTGCTCCACACCCCCTGAGTTTGAGCCCTTTTGCTTCTGAGTGCCTCAGTTTCCTTATGTGTATGGTGTGGCTTTGCAAGAGCTCTGACCCTAATCCTCTAACCCCCAGGAGCGAAGGCGGGCAGGCGGCGGGGCAGAGAGATCCCGTGGCCGGGAACGTCGAGGCAGGGGCGCCAGTCCCCGAGGGGGTGGCCCTCTCATCCTGCTGGATCTTAATGGTAGGTAGGGATCCTGGAACGTGGGGGGCTGTGGGGACTGAAGGAGAGTACTGGGGACCTCAGGCCAACCATCTCGGCTCTTGCTCCCGCAGATGAGAGCAGCAACCAGAGTTTCCATTCGGAAGGTTCCCTGCAAAAGGGCACAGAGCCCAGTCCTGGGGGCACCCCCCAGCCCAGCCGCCCTGTGTCACCTGCCGGACCCCCAGAAGGGGTCCCTGAGGAGGTTCAGCCCCCACGGCTGGGCCAAGAGAGAGGTAGGACCAGGTGCCTCCCAGGAGCCCTCTCCTCTAAGTCCTGTCTTCTCCACAGTCTAAATGACCAGCTTATCCCTATACCTGCTCCCTGCCCTGTGTGCTCTCCTTAAGGAGCCTTCCGACTCCTGCAGAATCTCCCTGTAGCTGCTGTCTCATTCCTCTGGCTTCTTAGGATCTATAGATGACATAACACTGTCTGAGATTTTAATGTAAATTAATGTTTTACTAGTTTGTCTTTCTTCTCACTCTCATCTCATCTCAGTTTCCTGAATGTTGGACCCATATTGATCCCTTTTTTTTTTTTTTTGAGACAATGTCTCGCTCTGTCACCCAGGCTGGAGTAGTGCAGTGGTGTGATCACAGCTCACTGCAGCCTTGAACTCCCGGGCTCAAGCGATCCTCCTGCCTCAGCCTCCCAGGTAACTGGGACCACAGGCATATGCCACGACACCTGGCTAATTTTTATATTTTTTGTAGAGACAAGGTTTCGCCATGTTGCCCAGAGTAGTCTCAAACTCCTGTGCTCAAGCAATCCTCTAGCTTCAGCTTCCCAAAATGCTGGGATTACAGGTGTGAGCCACCATACCTACACCCGGCCTCCTCTTTGTGGGGGGCAGGGGACAAGGTCTCTGTCACCCAGGCTGGAGTGTACTGGTGCAATCTAACTCACTGCAGCCTCAAACTCCTGAGCTCAAGGGATCCTCTGGCCCCAGCCTCCCAAGTAGCTGGGACTACAGGTATGTGCCACCATGACCAGCTAATTCTTAGATTTTTTTCGTAGAGATAGGGTCTTGTTATGTTGCCAAGGTTGGTTTCTAACTCCTAGCCTGAAATGATCCTCCTGTCTCAGCCTCCCAAGGTGCTGGGATTATAGATGTGAGCCACTGTGCCTGGCCCTATGTTGATCTTATTCACTACTGTATCCTCAGCATAATGTGGGACACATAGTAGGGGCTCAGTAAATATTTATTTGTTAAGTGAATAAATAATAGTGATAGTCATAGGGATGATTAATAGAAATAACAACAGCTAGTATTTATTGAGCTCTTACTGTGTGCCACACTTTATGTAGTTTGTTTTTTTTTTTTTTTTCCGAGACAGAGTTTCACTCTTGCCCAGGCTGGAGTGCAATCACACAGTCTTGGCTCACTGCAACCTCCACCTCCAGGTTCAGACAATTCTCCTGCCTCAGCCTTCCCTCCCGAGTAGCTGGGAATACAGGCATGCACCATGATACTTGGCTAATTTTGTATTTTTAGTAGAGATGGGGTTTTGCCATGTTGGCCAGGCTGGTATCGAACTCCTGACCTCAGGTAATCTGCCCGCCTCAGGCTCCCAAAGTGCTGGGATTACAGGCATGAGCCACCGAGCCCAGCCTTTTTTTTTTTTTTTTTTTTTTTTTTGGGCATAAATTCTTGCTTTTTTGCTCAGGCTGGAGGGCAGTGGTGCGATCTCAGCTCACTGGAACCTCTGCCTCCCAAGTTCAAGTGATTCTTCTGCTTCAGCCTCTCAAGTAGTTGGGATTACAGGCATGTGCTACCACGCCTGGCTAATTTTTTTATTTTTAGTAGAGATGAGGTTTCACCATGTTGGCCTGGCTGGTCTTGAACTCCTGACCTCAGGTGATCTGCTCGTCTCGGCCTCCCAAAGTGCTAGGATTACAGGCATGAGCCATGGCACCCAGCCAACACTTTACATTTTTTTTTCTCATTTAGTTTTCACTACAACCTTATAAAGGTGATAATACTGTTATGATCCCTATTTATAGATGAGGAAGCTGAGACCCAGAGAAATAACTCAGCCAGTAAGCCAGCATCTTGGGCCTGGGGTCCTCCTCAGCTCTGCTTTCTTTTCTTTTCTTTTTTTTTTTTTTTGTTTTTTTGGCTACGGAGTCTCACTCTGTGGCCCAGGCTGGAGTGCAGTGGCGCAATCTTAGCTCACTGCAACCTCCGCCTCCCCAGTGCAAGCAATTCTCCTGCCTCAGCCTCCTGAGTAGCTGGGATTACAGGTGCGCACCACCATGCCCAGCTAATTTTTGTATTTTTAGTAGAAATGGGGTTTCACCATGTTGGTCAGGCTGGTCTTGAACTCCTGACCTCATGATCCGCCCACCTCGGCCTCCCAAAGAGCTGGGGTTACAGGTGTGAGCCACCGTACCCAGCCAACTCTGCTTTTCTTTTCTTTTCTTTTTTTCTTTCTTTTTCTTTTGTAACGATTTTTTTTTTTTTTGAGACAGAGTCTCACTCTGTCACCAGGTGCTAGGCTGGAGTGCAGTGGCACAATCTCAGTTCATTGCAACCTCCAGCTCCCGGGTTCAAGCAATTCTCCTGCCTCAGCCTCCCGCGTAGCTGGGACTACAGGTGCACGCCACCACACCCAGCTAATTTTTGTATATTTAGTAGAGACGGAGTTTCACCATGTTGGCCAGGATGTCTTTCTTTCTTTTTGAGATGGAGTCTTACTCTGTTGCCCAGGCTGGAATGCAGTGGCATGATCTCGGCTCACTGCAACCTCTGCCGCCTGGGTTCAAGCAATTCTTCTGCCTCAGTCTCCTGAGTAGTTGGAATTACAGGTGCCTGCCACCATACCTGGCTAATTTTTGTAGTTTTTAGTAGAGACAGGGTTTTACCATGTTGACCAGGCTGGTCTTTAACTCCTGATCTCATGATCTACCTGCCTCAGCCTCCCCAAGTGTTGGGATTACGGGCGTGAGCCACCGTGCCTGGTTGAGCTCTGCTTTCTTCCATGCAGTCAAACCTGTCGGTTGGCACCTCTTCCTCCCAGGCCCTAACCTGGCCCTGGCCTTCCCATCTCTCACTGGTTCTTGGTTCCAGCTGGTCTCTTCAAGTCACCTCCACACAGCTGCCAGAACAGCTTTTTCCTTAATATTTTTTAAGCTTTGCTTTTTTTTTTTTTTTTTCAAGACAAGGCCTTGCTCTGTCGCCCAGGCTGGAGTGTAGGGGCGTGATCACAGCTCACTGCAGCCTTGGATTTCTGGGCTCATTCAGCCTCCTGAGTAGCTGGGACTACAGGCATGCATCACCACGCTCAGCTAATCAGTGTTATTTTTTTTATAGAGATAGGGTCTTACTATGTTGCCCAGGCTGGTCTCTAACTCCTGGGCTCAAGCAATCTTCCTGCCTCGGCCTCCCAGAATGCTGGGATTACAGGCGTGAGCCATGTTTTCTGAAGCACATTTGATGGAGTCATTTTTCTGTTTCAGATCCTTCAGGTGGATCCTCATGGCCTTTGACTCCTTGGCCTGACATTTGGGGCTTTTGTGAACTGTTTTCTGCTGACCTCATGGTTCCCTGCTAAGAACACCCTGATGTGGGGCCGGGCGCGGTGGCTCATGCCTGTAATCCCAGCACTTTGGGAGGCCAAGGCAGGTGGATCAAGAGGTCAGGAGATTGAGACCATCCTGGCCGACATGGTGAAACCCCATCTCTACTAAAAATACAAAAAATTAGCCAGGCGTGGTAGCATGCCTGTAGTCCCAGCTACTCTGGAGGCTGAGGCAGGAGAATCGCTTGAACCCAGGAGGCGGAGGTTGCAGTGAGTGGAGATCGTGCCACTGCACTCCAGCCTAGGTGACAAAGTGAAACTCTGTCTCGGAAAAAAAAAAAAACCACCTGTGGGTCTGTAGGCTGGGTCTGGGTCTAGATAGTGCCAAGCACTTGTATACCTTTGCTAATATAAAAATGGTAGCAAGGATTTATTGAGCACTTACTGTGTGCCAGCCATTGTGCTTTACCTGAATCCGCTCATCTGACCCTCACAACAGCTGCATGAGGCAATTACTATCATTACCCCCATTTTACCGATGGGGAAACTGAGGCCCATGGAAATTAAGTAGCTGGCCCAAGGTCAGGATTTGAGCGCTCTGCCTTTCAGAGGCAGGAAACTGTCTGTCCACCCTGTCAAGCCCTACTCACCCTTGAGCTCCCACCTCAGTGTTCCCTCCTCTGCTTCCTGGGGCACAGCCAGATTCCTGCTCTGTCCTCTCTGCTCCCTGGCCCTCTGCCTTCTGTGACTAGGGCCTGTGACCGTCTGTTTCTTCCACTGTCTGTGCTGCTGGCACAGAATGGCTGTTCAGGGGATGTTTGTTACCTTGATGTTCCAGATCCCGGGGCCATAACTGCAGGCAGCACCGATGAACCCCCGATGCTGACCAAGGAGGAGCCCGTTCCAGAACTGCTGGAGGCTGAGGTGAGAGAGGCCAGAAGGCTGGAATCCTGGGTCTTGGAGGGAATGGGGGATCTGGGCAGCGAAGGCTTGGAGCCTGCATCTTGAGACCCCAGAAGAGAGGCAGACCTGGGACCAAGCTGAAGGTTTAGGGGCTGGATTCTTGGGACTGAAACAGAAAGGGTGTTTCAGAGACAAAGTGCTGAGGGCTGGCTCCGGGCTGATTTGAGACCATTAAAAGCCTGAAAGGCCAGGCGCGGTGGCTCACGCCTGTAATCCCAGCACTTTGGGAGGCTGAGGCAGGTGGATCATGAGGTCAGGAGTTCAAGATCATCCTGGCTAACACAGTGAAACCTGTCTCCACTAAAAATACAAAAAATTAGCCGGGCGTGGTGGCACGTGCCTGTAGTCCCAGCTATTCGGGAGGCTAAGGCAGGAGAATCGCTTGAACCTGGGAGGCGGAGGTTGCGGTGAACCAAGGTCATGCCACTGCACTCCAGCCTGGGCAACAAAGCAAGACTCTGTCTCAACAATAAAATAAAATTAAATCAAAAGCCCGACAATATCACGGTGCTCCTTCATGCATTTTCAAAAAATATCTTAACTGTAAAATTAGCGTAAGAAAATCCCTCATACACCTCTGACATTTCTCACAAGGCGACCTTGATGCATTTTCAGAAATATCAAATATCAGGTTTGTTCCCCCACACAGTGTCGCTGTGGTTGTTGTTTTCGGTGCCTGCTTCCTCTGCGTCCTGGGCACCTGGCCCTGGGCTTGCCTCCCCCGCCCGGGAGGGGAGGGGAGTGGAGGCTTTGGAGAAGGCAGAGGCTCGGAGGCTGGACGCCTGGGTTGGGTGGAGCTCATGCCTGTCCACCCTTCCTCTCCAGGCCCCCGAAGCTTACCCCGTCTTTGAGCCAGTGCCACCTGTCCCTGAGGCAGCCCAGGGTGACACAGAGGACTCGGAGGGCGCCCCCCCACTCAAGCGCATCTGCCCAAATACCCCTGACCCCTGAGAAGCCGGCCTGCCTGTCCTGTCACCCCAGGGGCCCCTTTGGCTTTTTACAAATAAAGACCCTTTTGTAATTTTGTGTCCTGTCATTTCCCCGTCAGGGCTGGGGAGGGTTTTTGGAGACAGTTTTGTCTCATGCTCCATTGCTCAGATGGAGTCACTGAGGCTCTGAGAAGGCCTTCCTGTAGTCACACTGAAAGGCAGAGTGGGGTGGGGGCTTGAGCCAGGACCCTGCCTCTCCCTCACTTCCCGGGCCTGCCCTATTCCCTGACCTTCACCTCCTCCTTGGGGAGTCCCAGAACCTCTCTTCTTCCTGCTCAGCCCTCGCCTGGGCCTAACAAGTATCAGAGCTCTGGGTAGCTAGGCCATGATTCTTTTTTTTTTTTCGAGACCAAGACTTGCTCTGTTGCCCAGGCAGGAGTGCAGTGGTACAATCATGGCTCACTGCAGCCCTGACGTCCCACCTCAGCCTTGACGTCCCACAGGTACGTGCCACCATGCCCAGCTAATTTTATTTATTATTTATTTGAGAGGGAGTCTTGCTCTTGTTGCCCAGGCTGGAGTGCAGTGGTGCAATCTCAGCTCACTGCAACCTCCACCTCCAGGGTTCAAGCAATTCTCCTGCCTCAGCCTCCTGAGTAGCTGGGACTACAGGTGCCTGCCACTACGCCCAGCTAATTTTTATATTTTTAGTAGAGACAGGGTTTCACTATGTTGGCCAGGCTGTTCTCAAACTCCTGACTTCAGATGATTCACCTGCCTCAGCCTCCCAAAGTGCTGGGATTACAGGTGTGAGCACCATGCCCAACCTGCTACATTTTTTGTAGACATGGGGTCTCACTATATTGCCCAGGCTGGTCTTGAACTCCTGGGCTCAAGTGTTCCTCTTGCCTTGGCCTCCTAAAGTATTGAGATTACAGGCGTGAGCCACCACACCTGGCCTATTCATATTTCATACATAATAACACAGAGGCCTAGAGGGCCTTGGGGGCCTGGGATGACCAACACATTCCTTCCCCTGAGGAAGCCACTCCTCCACAGGGGTTGCCTGGCCACCTTTCTGTTGGGTCTGACTTATCCCCAGCTCAATCAGCATCTCCTCCGAGAAGTCTTCCCTGACTCCAGGCTCAGTCAGTTTCCCCTTTTTTGAGCTCCAGCAACCCCCTGGACTTCGTTCTCCTGGCTTCAGCATTTATCAGGCTGTTCTGGGATCTGTGGTTTGTGTGTCTGTCTTGTCTACGAGCCTGTGGGCTCCTGAGCGGTCCCCACACAACACTGGGAACAGGGCAGTCCCAACAGTGGCTTCAGGAATGAGTGAATACATGAATGTGCTGGGGTTTTCCAGGCAGGCTTCTCTGAGGAGGTGGCATGTGAGCTGGGCTGTGAGACACGAACCTCTGTGCTAGAACTCAAGTCAGCAGCCCTGGTTCAAGTCCTGGCTCTGTTATTCCCTGCATGGCTCTAGGCAGGCTGTTTCTACTCTCAGCCTTAGTTTATTCATCTGAGCAATGGGAACAATAATTAGGCCTCATCTGCCCCAGGAGTTTGTGGAAACTTCAGGTAACATAAGGCCCTCTCACTCTGCCTGTAGAGTCATGTATATTGGCGCTATTTTCATTTTTAATAAAGAAAGACACTGAGGTTCAGAGAGGACCAAATTACAACTTTAAAGAAGCATTTAAAAAAGGTAGGCCAGGCCAGATGCCATGACTCAAGCGTGTAATCCCAGCACTTTGGGAATCCAAGGCGGGTGGATCACCAGGTCAGGAGTTTGAGACCAGCCTGGCCAACATGTGAAACTCCGTCTCTTCTAAAAATACCAAAATTAGTCGGGCATGGTGGTGGGCGCCTGTAATCCCAGCTGCTTAGGAGGCTGAGGCAGGAGAATCGCTTAAAACTGGAAGGTGGAGGTTGCAGTGAGCCGAGATCGCGCCACTGCACTCCAGCCTGGGTGACAAGAGTGAAACTCCATGTCAAAACAAATAAACAAACAAAAATGGTAGGCCAGGTGTGGTGGCTCACACCTGTAATCCCAGGCCTTTGGGAGGCACAGGCGGGACCAGGAGTTTGAGACCAGTTTGGGCAACATGGCAAGATATAAAATGAAAAAATTAGCCAGGCATACTGGTGCGTGCCTGTAGTCCAAGCTAGCTGGGAGGCAGAGGTGGGAAGACTGCTTGAGCCCAGGAAGTCGAGGCTGCAGTGAGTGGTGATTGCACCACTGGACTTCACTCGGCAACAGAGCAAGACCGTGTGTCTAAACAGACAAAGGAAATGTAAGGATGCTTCTCTTAGCGCCGCAGTGGTAACAGTGAAGCCAGCGCCATCCAGGGAAGCCAGGCTTGCTGAATGTAGTGTAACTGTTTCTTATTGCTGCTGTAACAAATTGACACACTTATAGAGGCTTAAAGCCACAGACATTAGCCGGGTACAGTGGCTCACACCTGTAATCCCAGCACTTTAAGAGGCCAAGGTGGGTGGATCACCTGAGGTCAGGAGTTCGAGACCAGCCTGACCAACAATGTGAAACCCTGTCTGTACTAAAAATACAAAAATTAGCTGGGCGTGGTGGCAGGTGCCTGTAGTCCCAGCTATTCAGGAGGCTAAGACAGGAGAATTGCCTGAACCCAGGAGACAGAGGTTGCAGTGAGCCGAGACTGCGCCACTGCACTCCAGCCTGGGTGATAGAGCAAGACTCTGTCTCAAAAAACAAAAAACAAACAAAAAACCACAGACATTGATTCTCTTACAGTTCTGGAGAAGTCCAAAGTTAGACTTACTGGGCTAAAATCAAGGTCTCAGCAGTAGTTCCCTCCAGAGGAGGCAGGGGAAGTTCTCTTTCTTTGCCTTTTCCAGCTTCTAGAGGCGGCCTGTATTCCTTGGATTGTGGCCCCTCCCTCATCTTCAAATCGGTGCAGGATCTTCCAGTCTCTCTCTCTTCATTGTCACATCTTCTCTGACTCTCCTGCCTCCCTCCTCCAAGGACACTGTGATGATGCTGGGCCCACTTGAATAATCCAGGACACTCTTCCTATCTCAAGATCCTCAATTTCATTACACCTGCAAAAGCCCATGTGCCATATAAAGCAATGCATGTACCGATTCTGGGGATTCAGATGTGGACATCTTTGGAGGGCCCTTCTTTGTAGTATTGTCGGTTTGCTGGGTGTTTTGGCCACCTCATGACTCCCCTCAGCCAATCCCGAGGGAGGAGAGTGCTCTGTAGACATAAAGTGCCTTGTATGGGTTAGTGATGTAGTGTTAAAGCTCAGAATTCAGGTTCCAGGTTTGAATCTCAGCATCTGCATTCATTTGTTGTATGACCTTGAGCAAGTGACTGAACCTTTCTGTGCCTCAGTTTTCTCATCCATATAAAATGGAGATAATAGTGACATCAGCCTGGTGAGAGTATTCTGAGGGTTAAATGAGGCAACACATGGAGAGACAGCCCTTGGCCTGGGATGTAATAAGTGCTCAATAAAGGCAGGTTTTGTTGTATTGCCGCATTTTACAGATGGGGATGCTAGGGGGATAGAGACCAGAGACTTTCCTGTTACTGAGGCTGGGGACGGAAGCCTGGCCCCTGACAGGGTGTCCATTTCTAAGCAGTGTTGAGAAGCTAAAGTTTGAGTCTCCCCCATTTTTGTCCCTGTCCTGGTCACAGGGCCCAGGAAACTGGGCCCAGGCATCCCCCCACCCTCTCTGTGACCCATTCTTTGATGTGGTTTAAAAGCCAGTTTGGGCCAGGCGCGGTGGCTCATGCCTGTAATCCCAGCACTTTGGGAGGCCAAGGCAGGTGGATCACTTTAGGTCAGGAGTTCGAGACCAGCCTGGCCAACATGGTGAAACCCCATCTCTACTAAAAATACAAAAATTAGCCAGGCGTGGTAGTACGTGCCTGCAGTCCCAGCTACTCAGGGGGTTAAGGCAGGAGAATCACTTGAAACTGGGAGGTGGAGGTTGCCTGGGCAACAGAGCAAGATTCAGTCTTAAAAAAAAAAACAAAAAACAAAA